GGGGGTGGGGGGGCTGGGGGTAATCATGTGGGGAAAAATGAGGAAAATGGTGAAAATACATGATTTTTAAAGAAAATTATCAGGGTGGAGGGGGAGGAAACCCAAAAATACCCCTCTGGATCCGCCACTGTCATATATAATTTTCAAAGATGAATAAGATTTTACTTACATCCCAGCAACATGGCGAATATAGAGAAAACTTTCTCGGCGTTTGTATTTGGCGCTACATTTCCGAACCCTATACTGGTCAAGCTCGTGAAAGTGAAATAGAGTGACGTAATATATTTTGACCGGATACTCGGTCCACTCATCGTGTCGTTTGGAAGGTAAGGTTTATTACACTGGGTAGCTAGATGGTCAAGCCAGCTAATCCGCGCCTTGAGGTGGGGACGTTCGACGTACGCTATGGCGTAGAACACACAGGCTAGCCAATGGGCGATGAGGGTAAAGGTCACCATCAGCAACATGAGTACCGCCGCTCCGTACTCGGCAAACTGTTCTATACGGCGAAGTACTCGGAGTAACCGGAGTAGACGGGCTAGTTTGAGTACACCTGTAATCGTCATTGTCTGGAGAGAAAAAAATGTTATTGATAAAAAATATATTTCTATCGGAGGAATTAAGAAACAAAGTTAAGGTTCCCTGTCCCACTGCACTGTGATCGTTTCCTATATACAGTTACTTCCCCTTCACTTCCGTTTGAACAAAACTGTAGAACAGGACAGACAGACACAGCGTTGGATACAACGCTGGTACAACAATCTGAAATCCAGGGTTCGAATCAGTTATAGTCATTGTCTGAAATTGGTACAAAATTCAATTTTAGTATGTATCTTTTTGTAACAATGTATACAAGATATTAACTTTCTTTTACGATTTCCAATAGAAAAGCATTGCTGAGTGTATGGAAATTTTCCTAAACATACGATTTTCAATTATTCCGATAATATTTTCCTGTGGAAGGAAAAAGTGAAACTATGAGTACAACAACATATTTTGAAGCGGGGAGTAAAGAACTTATTTTTGTGATAATTATATTTCCTTCAAGTTGGTAAGTATAGTTTTTATAAAGGTTCATTCAGCACAACCAGTGAAATGTTTATGTGCGACGCATCGATGACTTATAGATTAGCCTAATCAACGGCGATTGGATTGTTGCCCATTTTGTATATATTTGATGAAGATGAAAAAAAGCATACCGTCGTGTAATTCAAACGTCACACAAAACCATTTCACTGGTTGTGCTATATAAAGCTGTTAACAACTAAATGACGTCATACTTACGTCAGAGTTTCCGGAACCAAACAGTAACAGGTCAAACGGAATGGCGGCTATTGTGTCGATGACGAACCACCCCTTCACGTAATTCACAGCTATTTTCTGCGGGTCTACAACAACCTCGCCATCGTGGAGATACGTCGTCCGGAAGTTGATCAAAATATCAGCTATAAACATGAGGTCAACAATTAGATCGATGAGCACGAGCGGGTCAGCCTTGCTTGTCTCCGCGTTCTGGAGACGACTCGCGGCGTCACGATTCAGTTTCATTCGGGTCTCGTCCTGGTTCAGGAGGAAGCAGACGACATAGGGTGTGAGGACGGCGGTGTAGAGGACCAGGAACAAGATAATCCAATCCCAAACAGCTTTAAAGGGCGAGTAATGGAGGATGATAAACTTGGTCTGCTGCTGATGCTGTTTGGAGGGCGGGATATATTCCAGCTCGGAACATTCCTCATCACTTGGTTCGTCCGGTTTGGGCTTCGTGGCCTGCAGATAGAATATACTGTGATATTAACATAACTTAACCTTTTTTTGTATGGTTTATTTGTGTTTTACGTCCTATTAACAGCTATTGTCATTTAAGGACTTGCCAAGTTGTGGTGGTGAAGGAAAGCCGGAGTTCCCGGAGAAAAACCAACGACCTACGGCCAGAACTTGTCGACTGCCCCACGTAGATATCGAACCCATGACCCAGTGCTGGAGTGCTAGAGGTAGCAAAATGTCAAACGCCTTAATCACTTGGCCACCGCGGCCCATTTAACCTTTGGAACTAAATGATGAATGGAATATCAGAAACCAGGTACAGATGTTCCTCTTCCATTTTTTTGGCGGAAAAATCAGTTATGAAAAAGTCAACTCTAAAGAAGAGATATTCGGAACACCTTTTTTTTTTTTAGTAAAGCGGAATCAAATGCCGATATATAAACCATATTGGGGTTATCAAACGCGCACATGTCCAACGACTTCACAAATGTGACATAAGTAGATTTAATTACACACAATTATCATTGCTTTGTCTAGATAATTTCCACCTTTTCACAACATTCAAAAATTTCTTTCATGGTATCCATTTTTTTCTCCAAACATATCACGTAAAAACATGTACATACATAAAACTTCAGAATTATTTCCAATATTATCCAACAAATTTCGTTATGTTTGTTTTATTCTATATATATAGAGTATCTTACCATCTACAACACCCGACCTATAGAACCGACAGGGGACATTCTCAGTAGTAGTAAATTATCGTTAGTAGTTTCTCTAATTCAATTATCCAATAGGATAAACAACACAAAATATAGAAATATATTTCACTGCGACATTCATGTAAGATCCTATAAATATGGAATTAAATGTGTATATATTGCTAAAGAGTATATATAAGCTTATATACAGTGATATGATGTTATAGAGTATAATGTATATAGGGTTTATATGTGAATATCTATGCAGTGATATCAATGGTATATAAATCAGTATACACAAAAAACCCCGATTACCCTGGTCTTGAAACTCGGCGTCCGATACACAAACATGATCCTGGTTCTAGTACTGACACCACGTAATCCCAATCCCTTAATTACGACATACCAGTACCACACTGTAAACAGTGTGTGGGACTAATCACTCAGTGGTCAGGTGACGCGGAGTAATACAACAAGACATGCATCCATTAATGGGGTAATGAGAATTTAAAAAAAAAATCAACATTAATAGTTTTGTTTAATGTTTAATAGCAGGGAATAATAGTATAATAATATAAAACTGAATATTTCAATAAAAGGGTTAGCTAAACGATTAATTATTGCGTTTATAAAGTCCCCATGCTGAGCCTCAATCAGGATTTCCCGAAGGGGTTGCCATGTATATCATAAGTTAATTACTTCCAAACACGACCAAACTGTATAGTGATTCTTGTTAAAACCTTTTCCCAGTCAATATTGCGCATGCTTTCAGCCATGATGTAGTGATTGAGAAAAAACATTGAGTGGAGAGTACGTTCTTTAGAAACATGGAGAGACAATTTTAACATCTGAACTCTCCTGTCTTATCTTTAACAGTGTGAACATCGATTCCCAGTCTTAAAGGGAGATTGCAGATTTGAAAAAGTGCCAAACCCTCCTCGACAACCCTATAAAAAGGAAAGTGATGTAAAGTTTAGGAGATTATTGTGTGTCCGTAATTTGATAAAAAAAACTTGCAAATAAACTATGACGTGCAATTTGTTGTGTTGTCAATTACAAACTTGTTTACATGTGTCACCAAGGCAACGTTGTGGATATGTATTACACATTAGGTTACATTGCTTAATGACACGCAGTTTTGGGAAGATCAGTGACGCGTGGCTTTGTGAAGGTCATTGGCACGCTGAAGGTAACTAACACATGATTTTGTGAAGATCATTGACACGAGACTTTGTGAAGATCACTGGTACATGTCCTTGTGAAGGTTAATGACACGCAGTTTTGGGAAGATCAGCGACGCGTGGCTTTGTGAAGGTCATTGGCACGCTGAAGGTAACTAACACATGATTTTGTGAAGATCATTGACACGAGACTTTGTGAAGATCACTGGTACATGTCCTTGTGAAGGTCATTAACATGCGATTATTGAAGGTCATTTACACGTGGCTTTGTGAAGGTCATTGACATGTGGCTTGATGGAGGTCATTTACACGTGGCTTGGTGAAAGTCATTGACAATTGGCTTGGTGAAGGTCATTGACACGAAGTTTGTATGAAGGTTGTTGCCACTGACATTGTGAAGGACATTGACAATTGGCTTGGTGAAGGTCATTGACACGCGACTTTATGAAGGTCATTAGCACATGGCTTGGTGGAGGTCATTGATACATGGCTTGGTGGAGGTCATCGACACATGGCTTGGTGGAGGTCATCGACACATGGCTTGGTGAAGGTCATTGAAACGCGACTTGATAAAGGTCAGTGGGGGGTTGGGTGGGGATGGGGGGTAAGAACTCTTATAGCTACCTTATACACATGTATTTACAAAGCGCGTCATTTGTACGAAAATAATATCATTTTCAAACCAGTGATTTTTCCGGGACTCCAAAGGAATATAGATTAGACCTATGGCCTACGAGGACCAGCTTACACGTCATTCAAAAACAGAAGGCCATTCAGGGTCTCCATACAATCTCTGACTCCTATATGACACGTCGCCGTACAAGTATGCCCATACTTTAGCAGTGCTAATGAATTGGCCCAGTCGAGACGAGGCAGACGCTGACAGGCGATCAATGCGATCTATTTGTTCCCGACAGCTATCTTCGGAGGACATTGCTGTGCCGGTATTTCGCTGCAACGAATCTCAGATTATTTTTCTGGGAAATCACCTCATAACTGCTAGTTTACATAGATAGTTTAAAAAGAAGATAGGTACTATCTTTATTGTTATGTACTTTTCAAGTTATGTTATCTTGAAGTTTAACGAGTTATATACGCATTTGTCCCATTAGGGTGCATGTAATGATAAAATACGGAACGGAAACGGAACGGAAACGGAACGAAATATGGAAAGGAAGGAAATCCGAAAGTGGAACGGATTTTCATTTTTTTTAATAGAACGGGAAATGGTACATGCTAATCATGTTAGTATCATTTAAAGGGAGTTAGTAACGGACATTATCATTTAGTTTGGTTCCTTATTCAAGATAAATCTTCAAATTCGATACGTATAGATATACATTTGCAAGTTCCTCTATAAGCATTTCTATGAACGCAATTTGATCAGCGTCATTTGGAAGCTTCCCCTCCCGAATCGATGACATTGTAACCTGAGATCACCGTAATAAGCAAACGTTTTTGGTGACGTTACGCCGTTCCACGAATCTCGTTGCACTGACGAATATAAGATGTTCATCTGTTTCTTTAACTACGAAAGAATGAGATAAGGATTAAATGGGTTTTTTTTCAATTTTTATTTTCAATATTTATCATGAAGCAAAGTTTATGTAATCGATTTACGTTCATACTGGCGTGGAATAAAAAAAAAAAAACGTTTAATCCTTTCTTATTGTTCACAGCGGGTCTTTCAAAGTTGATCTGCAAAGCTATACATCATTTTCCAATCATGTGCAGTTTACAGACATATCAAAGCATGTTCTTGTTTTCGACAAAAACAATACAGAAACCGAAGGAAACAGCAATCGAGATATGACGGAACACAAAAACAAAAAACAAAAAAGGTAGGAAAGTAATGTGATTCGCAGGACGGGTTTTGTGTACCATGTGTGATTTTTATACAATATTGTCTGAACTAATTGTAAGAAAATAAAATCCATTTATAAAGACAGACCACAGCCGTTTCCATTTGTACGCAAGCACACTCGCAATCGTATTTAGGTTTGATTTCGATACGGCGAAATTGTTGTACATGTGCATGTATATTATATTGTGCGCTTAAGTTTATTCTTAAAATCCTGATATTGTATTTTCGGCTTCCCTTTTTTGATTTTATTTACCCAAATACATGTTTTCATACTAAATTTCAATGTTTGCCGCGTCACTATTTGTAGTTTTACTGTGTATTACCATCAGTATGTTTGTCATACTTTTATTTTGACAAATATTGTATTTTTGATTTATAATAGATATATTTGTATTCAAAACTCTTTAAATGTGTGTTTGTATAAATTAATAGGACACTAATTATTCATTTATTTATTAAACTTGATGTTAAGTTAACAATGCGGTTTGATTAGCGACATGTCATTTTTCAAACATGACAGTCAAATCGATTTGTTCAGCTCACTTCGATGTAAAAATTACAAACGCAGTTACATCAAAAACGAGAATTTTTCAGTTTCAACACATTTTATGCAAGCATAGCAATAGAGCGTATTGTTCAAAATAAACGTTTAGAAGTGTTGTGTATATTTTTAACCAAAAATATCGTTTGTATCAGTAATTATGCAACACGCATCACTCTTGAACATCGTTGCATTATTGCTGAATTTTACCGTAACGTTCTTACTGTAAACAGTAGAAAAATACGCACAGTGTTAACCACTCCGGCTTGAAGTCGATGTGGTAGTGAAATACACGAGAGAAAAAAATGAATAACACAAGACTTTCGCTGTTTCACAAAAACTGAGGAAAGTTGTTTTCTATTTGAAGGTATATCAATGTTAACATAATGCAGTAATATTTTAAGACGTATTATTACAACTTACCTGTATAATAGCCTGTCTGATTGGATTGTATTGGTCACATGACAGAAAAATAAAGCATCGTGTCTGCCGCGCACCCTCGAGTTTATCCAATTATATTTCCCTTATTCGGAGCCTCTCTAGAAATTAGGCAAGAACCACCATATCTGAGTTCCGAGTGAGACAAAGAAGCACACGAGAAAAAGTGCGCTTCAATATCTGTGTTATTGTTTTATTTGGTTGTAATTAAATATTCAATGCCGTCATCTTCAATTAGATTTATCAGTTTAGAAACATCAAATTTATCAAAGTTTTATTTTATACGCAAACAATGTATGTAATAAACTAGTCAAGAAATAATGGTAACTTCGTCAAGCTTAGACTGATTGAGCGATTGCATTTGCTACCTGTACAACGATGTGACGAAATTATATATTTCATTTGTCACTCGACACGGGACGTTGTTACGCTACGATTTCTCACCCCGACTCAAATTCTCACACAGATGAGAAATCTTGCAGGGGCGAGAGATTGTGTTGCGAACGCAACAATTTAAGCACGATTTCTCACGTGGAATGAGAAATATCGTGGTGTTACAGACGTTTCGTCTATCAATAGAGAGTGTATACACACTGTATCGAACTAGTTTCCGTTGTTGTAAGGAGCTTTTGTTAACCAGATATTAATCATGTTTGGCAAGGACGATTAATAGAGGGAACTGCATGTATTACACAATACACACTGTATTGACGTCACAAACATATACAAATTAACATTTTATTTTTATTTTTATTTTATTTTAATGCAAAATGTATTATCTATGATTCTCAATTTAAGAATAACTTGCATCTCTCCAGATTTCCAATAATTGCAAAATTTCGGAGTTAAACGTTTCCGTTCGGGTTTTTGTGTGTGTTGATTATTAAAGCATTTTCACTCAACCTTAAACATATAATTTTGGCATGAAAATATTAATTTTTAAAAATATTCACTACCAACAAGTGCGGTTCGGATAACTTTCATCGAAACTTTTTTTTCCGATTCCGACCCTGACATATGTCGACTATACCACTTATTAGAAAAAGATTCCAGTCGCCTTTGATCTGGAAGAATACAAACCGAAGCCAGTTCTAAACTCAAAGAGGACGTGCCGTCGGCGGTACAAATGTAAACTTATTACATTAAGTCATGTCTATTACGTCACTCCCAGACACCATGGAAACCAGATTCCTAAGGAGTTGGCGATTGAGTAAAGGAATGACATGTTTACCATTGTGTGAAGATAATGTGATTTCGGTTTTACGCGTTATCTCTGATTCGATCTCGCTATTTAAATCTCTGCGTCTTTTCACGGTATTGTGGCCAAAATGAAGCCGAGATGTTCATCGTGTACACACAATACAAGCCAACAAGCAATAAGTACATTAACGTGTCAGTGTCCTTGAGATATCGAAAGATTTCGCAACGGAAGCTCAATGCCCAATATAGATTCCGTAAAGGGCTCTGACGTCATTTTACCAGACCATGAACTGGTGTCATTCCAAGGAAAAGGCGAAACAAACTTTATGGTTTGGAAAACAGTATGGATACTCTAGCGCATATGCCTATGTTTATTTGATGACAAGCAACGATATACACGTTTTTCTTCTGTCAAAATACAATCGTATAATCAAATGCTATTTAGCTGCGGTAATGAAAGTACTTTGATATGAACTTGCTTCCGTTTCAGCAGAGTTATCACCCTTCGCTGACATCTTCTCTCATAGAAGGAACCGTTCATAAATCACGCTTTCTTAGCAGGTTAAGCAATTTTTTAAAAATAAAATATCCCTGACCAGCGTACCGGCGAATATGACATGAAACGCCATTATCAAAGTAAAAATTCCAGAAACAATCGACTCTCAACTAACGCTACTAATTCACAGATATTGACTCACCAGCTCTTCCTCTTTCCGCTGTTCCGTTTCCCGCTCTCCCTCCTCCGATATCGGGTGAAAGGCCCGCTTACCGCGTAGTTCCTTCAGCACTTTCAACATGATGATCTTATTCTTTGCCTGGAAAATATTAAAGGTCAAAGGTTAGGATTTAAAAAAAACCGTGATGAAGGTTAAGGAACTATGATGTTCTTGGCCTGATATCATTAAAGGTCAAAGTTCAGGACCAATGTTATAGAACGATACATTCATGGCCTGATATCACTAAAGGTCAAAGTTCAGGACCAATGTTATAGAACGATACATTCATGGCCTGAAATCATGAAAGGTCAAAGTTCAGGATCAATGATTCGGAAGGTTATATAACAGGGAGGTTCTTGGAACTGAAAACTTCAAGACCAAAGGTTAGAGGATGTCAATAGTCGAAGGTTAATAATCGAACAGTCAAATGTCAAGACAATTGAATAGCACTTATTGTGTAGTTTAGACATCATGAAATAGAAAATGTCAACATCCCATTTGTCAAACTACCACAAATACTATGGCCAGAGTACTATCGTTGACGAAGTAACACGATTGGTTAAGGGGACGAAACGAAAATGATTTTTCACCCCTTTAATTCATCTTCATCTTTTTATCATGAAATATTGCTTAACATGGCTTTCTTTTCAGAAACTATTGTCAAAGCTATAGACAAGTCGGTAACAATAATTTATAATGCAAAGTGAATCTTTCCAGTTTTTAGCATTGGAACAGGGGACCTTAAATGTTTGATTTAGATGTAACTCACAAAACGCACTTGTAACGCACTCATTCACTTTCAATTAAACGCTTCGGTGATCAAATCATTTAATGTGCGCCACTTAATTTGACCTTTAACCATTACGTTAACAGTTGATGGTGGATCATTTCAGACAACGATTTATCTTGTATGTCGGAACAGAAATACTTCATCTTTTTTTAATGATTTACTACCTACAAAACAGTTCAAGCTGTAATATATATTTATCTGTGTTTGGGTATTTTAATGGGTGTATCGCAATACAAAACATAACTAGACCGGGATATATATGGGTGTCGTACCACCAGGATATTTACAGAAAATTTATCGCTGTGTCGGACTGCTAAACTAGCGACATTCTTCGTAAATCATGTCCATATTCATGGGGAAATGGAATCGACAAAATACGATGTTCTGTAAACGCATCAAGCAAGGCTCCGAAGCGGAAAATATTGTGCTTTATCGAGCTTAAGGTTTCTTCTGGATGAAATCGAAATTGCTCCTCAGCAGAACCGGAACTCTGCGGATACATCTGTGTGGGTTACAAAGCCTGCGTTACGTAATATCATAGAACTTGTAAGAATTCACCAGACAGTATCTCTGACAGTTCAGGGGTTCCCGTTGACAAGTATGCTCGATGTACACATTCTGTCACAAGCTATCGCGTTACCATGTAAGAGTTAGAAAAGGGGAGATAACTAGGGAAGATAATAGTGTCTGTTAAGTTTTTGCATTATATTGATTTGTGGTCCATCAATAAATGAAGTCAAATTGGACAAAACAAACACTATTGAAAAAGACATCCTCAAAAAAAGAAATGAATCTATTTTACAGAGCTAGAAAGAAAAAAAGAAAAAAGAAAAACATTTAAAGCAAACCAATCGGTTGCATCATATAATTCATATCTGATGCCAAATGTAAATTGAATTTACTACATAAAGTTGAAAATTTGTATCACACAACATTTTGATAGATGGTTCGACATAAGAGTTATCAATCAAAATCGGTGCATTTGATCATAAAGTATTTTACTGTGAAAGGTTGATAGCAAGCATGACGATAAAGCTGACCTTCCTTTTATAGAAGGTAACCGGTGGGTTGCGTAGGTTTGCTTACGTAATTTATGTACAAAACATGCATCAAGATAATCAAATTAAGATTTAGATTAGATTTACAATGTTAGTGAATGTGATAAATTCAAAGGTATATCTTAATGTAATAATGATGTTTTAAAGATAAATATCATTTATTGAGATTCAAAACAGTGAGACTTTCTTATGTTGCATTTTTCTGGCAATTAAAAAATCCCATTTGTCACAAGACAAAAAAGACACCCTAACCCTCGACACCACCACCACCACCACCATTACCACCACCACAACCACCACCACCACTTACCTCACCACTACCACCACCATTACCCCCATAACTACCCTCACCACCACCATTACCACAACCACCATTATTACTCCCACCACTAACACCATTATTACCACCACCACAACCCTCACCACCACCACCACCACCACCATTACCACCACCATTACCCCAAACACTACCACCACCTTTTATACCACCACTACCAACAACGCCACCACCACCACTACCACCACCACCACCANCACCACCACCACCACCACCACCATTACCCCTATCACTACCACCTACACCATTATCACCACAACTACCCTCATCACTACCACCACCACCACCACCATTACCATCCCCACTACCAACACCACTACCCCAAACACTACCACCACCATTACTACCACCATTACCACCACCGTCACTACCACCACCATTACCACCACCATTACCACCACTTTTACCATCACCACTACTCCAAACACTTCCACCACCATTACCACCACCACTACAACCATTACCACCACCACTACAACCATTACCACCACCACTAGCCTAACCACTAACCTTACCACCACTACCACCACCATTACCACCACCATTACCACCACCATAACCACCGCCACTACCATCACCACTACCACCACCATTACCACCACCATTACCACCACTTTTACCATCACCACTACCCCAAACACTACCACCACCATCACCACCACCACCACCACCGCCACCACAACCATTACCAACACCACTAACCTCACCACCATTACCAGCACCACTACCAGCACCATTACCAAAACCACTACCACCACCACTACCCCGACCATTACCACCACCACTACCCTCACATCTACCACCACTACCACCACCATTACCCTCACCACCACTAACCTCACCACCACTACCCCCACCACTACCACCACCAACTTCGATTTCGACATTAACTATATCTTCTGAAGCTATACATATACAGTGTTTGTACATCGGCAGCGTAACCATTGCATTTTAAAGTAGCTAGTAATGTGACGGTATAGAAGTGACATCACAATCAAACGCTCTGTTAAACAGAGATGATTGATATATTTTGTTCATGTAACAGAACGAAACTTTTAAAAAAAATACACAAAAATTAAATCTCAAATACGACAAAAATCGCTGTGAAGTAAGTGGCGATATTTCGGCAACACGTTTACGCCATTTACACATTTAAAATAACGACATTTTCCATTAGTGCTAAAAGGTCTATGATAAATTGACCGGATTTCCAGATAACTTGAAGTCATTTGAAGCAATTTTAGAGTTTGCACAAATCCATCAAATTTCAAAACCATTCAACGTATTTTTTTTTTTATATTTTGAACATTTCTTCGATATTATGATAAAAATATGTATTTGTAATTTTCTGTTGTTTGTGTTTCTGTTGTTCTAGTCAGTTGAAATTTACATAAATTAATGAAATTAGAGTATTTAATAAAAACTATTTCAGGTATTTTTTTCTATCAGTGACTATGGATCATACTCTTGAACCAAGTTTATATTTCATCCACCTTTGTATTCCTAGTACCTACATATTTAGGGAACAACAATGCGAAATCATGACAAAATTGACTAAATATTTGTTCTGTTCTAATATACAATAATTTGAAATCGTTACCATAGTAACGATGTGTAAAAAAAACTTTTTTTTTTCTCATAAAAGTACTGGGGGCGTATTCAAAATGAAATAAATATATTGTCAATTTAGATTTATTTTACTAATATAAAAAGGTTAAAAGTTGATATGTAAACAAACAAAATTTGAAAAATCATTGGCAGAAAGAAACATATTGTGTTTATAAATTTATATATATATATATTGATAGATAATACAATCCTACAGTATTATTCCGCGAAAGTGCTTTGATGACAAAAAATAAACCTGGTATTCCAGCTGTTTGAATCAAAAATGTTTCGGAATCGATTGCAAGGAAAATGAAGACATATGTATGCCTTGTCTATCGTAATGATTAAAAGGCTGCCGCAGAACAGATCACAAGGACTCACAAACCTGAATTTTTCTCCGGTAGCATTTTATTTTTATTTTAATATCCTCCCCTTTTGCCGAGTGAAGAAAACGTTAGCGTGGCTTCACCATCATTGATCATTTCTCGTGTTCATAAACTCGACTAGCGTCTTTTATGGCTTCTGGCCATGCGAGTTGATCAAAGACTACTGCAGAAGTTAGGGTAATAAATCTCAATAGTACCGGAAATAAAAGGAAACTGTTCCCTGTTATCCATATATATGTCCCAACGCTGACATCCATAAACAAACGCAATCTAATTTTCCCATTAAGAAGTGCGCGTTTAAAGAATAAAAAATTGAAAAAAATTGTGGGATGGTTTCATCTTGTAGAAAGTTATATATCCTATTAGTTTATAAGATGTGAAATGTTTCAATTACAATTTTGTTTGATATTTTTCGTGATATCCTTAGAAAAATACTTGGAAGTGGTAAAATTTATTAAAGCAATCACAGAAAAGATTAAAATGCAAGAACGTATATATATTTTTAAAGATAGTACGTCGACGCAAAACGAAAAATAAAGTAAGCGGTTTTACCTATCACAACTCTGTTAGATGTTTATATTGAAAAACAAATTCGAGCACAACATTTTATATTCGTTCGGCAATTTTATTATGTTAGCATAAACAGTGTTATAGCCAAAATGTGATTTTCGAAACAACATCGGCAAAAGACGTTAAATATTGACGTGAATCACAAAGACCTATTAGCAAAGGTCGTAAATTATCTCCAATCATATTCAGTGTTGAAGTAAACAAGATCATATCCAAACATGAATTTCTTGTAGACTTCAAAACCAAATAAAAATATCTTACATTGACGAGATTTAACGTGTTAGAATTTGTACTGGCAATGAATTGT